CGAACTCGTAATGATAAAATGGCGAAGAAGACGAATAAATTACAACTCGAAAATTAATAAAGTTAAGACGGACAATTATTCAGTTTAAATGCCTATGGAAAATTTAAAAATATTTACTATATACCAGTTAAATAAATTCGACGTAGTTACGGTAAAGGTACAAAACTTTATTTTTATTTTTCATTCAAATCATTTCAACTGTGAAGACCCGTTTACACGGGTAGAGTAATGAAGCAAGTACTTGGTAGAGTAGAGTAACTCTACCCGTAAAAACCCGAAAAAACGTTCAGCAAAGTAGAGTAGCAAGTAGAGTGCATAGTAGGTAGTAGAGTCGAGTGACTAGCAACATGTGGCAAAGTAACTCTACTCTACTACCACCACCACCGCTAAAATTTCCACTAGCCCGCGCACTCTACTCATGGAACGCGGTGAATTCTGGTAGAGTAGAGTAGGTAGAAGAGTGCATAGGGACGCTGTCATTCCAGATGGAGTTGTGTTTTATGTAAAAATTAAAAATGAAGTTCACCGAAGATGAAACTTTAAAACTTGTAGAGATGTATGGAGAATACCAGTGTTTATGGAATTTAGGTAGTGTACACTACAGAAATAAAAGTATGAGGCAAGCTGCGGAGGATGAAATCGTCGAAAGAATGGCAAAAGAGGGTTTTGGAGTAAACGAGCTCAAGCAAAAAATTAAGAATATAAGGTGCACCTATAATCAAGAGTGTTTAAAAATACAAAAATCAAAAAAATCGGGTTCAGGTTCAGCCGATGTATACGTTCCGAACGTGAAATGGTTTACTCCTATGGAAGCAATCATGAAAGGTGCAAAAGGAAACAAGAAAACTGAAGGCTCACGGGTAAGTTACAGGTTTTTATTACTTGTTAATGAAAAATACAATAAGAAATAAAAAATGTATTCTTATCAAGATAAAAGTGAACGATTGTATATCAGATTTGACAGTAAACCGGTTGGCTGCCATATAAACTTGTCCACCAATAATTACAAATTTAATGCAACGTTGATTTTGTTTGTTCATAGAGTTAAAAAACGGACACTGAGCATTATACCCGTTCCCACCTGTCGTGTGTCGGATCCGTATATTAATCGGATGTCAGCATTTCTATCCTATTATTATATTATCGGAAGCTGGCAAATTTTTACAATATACGCGAGAGAACTGTGAGAGAGTACATAATAAACGAAATTGTATGTATAAGAAAATCAGCATTTTTAAAAGTGCCGATAAGATCATTATGTTTACCCATTACTTTTTAATCTTCTCAGATATGGTACTTGGAAATTTGTAAATTTATACTACAAACGATATTTAAAAACTAGACTAAACATACATAATAGCATTCATATAAAAGTGTGTAGGTTATTTATTTTTCCCAACTCACGACAAGTGGGAACGGGCTATAGTTCCGAAATTTTATGACAAATCTTGTTAAATACAAATTACAAAAAGTTGTACAATTCTTCATAAGGTTGTTCTAGTTAATAAATGTCATACACAATACAAAGTAATATCTCAAGTCAAAACACATTCTTATATTGCCATGGAACAGCTCCTTCATTGTTAAAATAGGTCATTAAGCGATCTCTCACTTTCTTAGCCATGGCTGTTGACTGAGAGCCACCATATGGTTCAAGATTTCTTAGTTCATTGATTTCGTTTCGCCATTGCCCTTGAATGACAGATCCGTTGTCAGTAATTTCCTTATCGACACAGCCATTGACAAAATATGATTCTGGGGATGTTTCTCTTAGCCAGTTGTGAAGGCTACAGGCTGCGGTAACTACTTTATTTACTGTTGTTAGCTGTACGGCTAAGTGTCTTTCGAAAATCCGGAAACGACTAACTAATATTCCAAATGCATTCTCCGAAATTCTTCTTGCCCTGCTCAAGCGGTAATTGAAGACTTGTTCATTTACGGTAAGACGTCTTCGGTACCCACTGTATGGCTTCATCAGGTACATTTTAAGCGGAAATGCATCGTCCCCAACAAGGAATAGACCATCGGGTAGAAGACTGTTCTCTAATGCTTCATATATATTGCAATTTTGAAATACACCTCCATCTGAATTAGATCCTTTGAAACCAACATTGATATAACTGAAGCAGTATTTATGATCAACAACAGCCATAAGTACCACGCTGTGCTGCCCTTTATAATTATAATATTCACTGCCAGAGTTGGGAGGTGCCTTAATTAAAACGTGTTTGCCGTCTATAGCCCCACAGCAATTTGGAAAGTTCCAATGCTCCTTAAAACCCTCAGCCACAGTGTTCCATTCGTCTCTGGAAGGAACATGAAACCAAAATTTAAAATTCCCTCTTAACATTTACTAATTTAGTTTTTGTTTTATTTTTTGTTTGTTTTAGGAAACAACCATTTCACACAATACAGAGTCGAAATATCCACTCAACACAGAATCACAGGAAGAGGAAGGGACTATCGATGATCCAGATCAATCAGTGGAAAATATAACTCTACCACAAACATCGAGCTGCCAACAAACACCATCTCGTAAGCAATCGGCATCGGAAACATTTAAACGACGGCCTGCAGGCAAAAAGAAGAGACTTGACAATCTAACACAAGCAGTGAAGGACCTTCAACAGGTTAGTCAAAATATCCATGACGACCGGATGGACAGCAATGAGAACGAAGCGTTTGGAAATTTTGTTTCAGCGAGCTTGAATAATTTACCACCGGAACAAGCTGTGGTGGCCCAACATGAGATTCAGGGAATTCTGATGAAGCACAAACTAAGCGTTTTATCCTCAGCAAACTGCTCAGTACTCCAACTCAACACACCACCAAGTTTACCAGTGCACATGTCTCACAGCACCCCTGCATACTCCGTTTCATCAGGATGCAACTCCCACCAGTCATTTTACACCAATTCTCCACTTGGCAGTCCTACGAGTAGCAGTGCTCAGCAAATGGCGTCTTCGTCACTCGTTACTCAACAGCAACAGTATCCAGATGGTAACAGTATCCATCTACAAGATGCAGCTGTGAATCCTGAAGATTCAGATATTCTGACACGTGCTATGCAAATGACTTATACACAGGTTTAATATTTAAACGGGACTTGCTTCACCGAAGTTTCTGTGGTGTACCTTTTTCAACATTTATCTGAAGTACTATTTTGTTATTTTACGAATTTTCAATTAAAACTATTTTTTGTAATGCGTGTACCTGTTTATTCACCCTGTTATTGAAACTTACCTTTATTGACTCCTCCAATACTTCGGAGATGGCATCACACACCTCGGGGACCAACTTTGAAATTGCAGGTCTTGAAACCCTAAAAAAATGAGAAAGGCTTCGATAGCTGTTGCCTGTAGCTAAAAAATTCAATGTAATCTCAAGCTTCACTCTTGGTTTTATTGCATCCCTCATAAACGTGTCTTGTCGTTCGATTTTGTCATGCACCATATTCAGAAGTTCTTCGAATTTTCCTGGGGTCATCCTTAGACACATCTTATATTCCAACTCATCCTCTAAGGCTAGTTCTCTTAACAGAAGAGCTGAGGCCCCGTGTGTATTCCTTCTTTTAAGCCACTCTCTCATCCACTCCTTTCTTTGTTTGTTTACCTCATCATCGATAGCTTCAGCGACTTCAGTTACAAATGCATTTGCAACTGTAGCTAAACAATTTTGAATCAATTTTCTTTTTCTTGAATTCATTTTGCACTAAACAAACACCCACTCCACACTATACTAGCATCAGTACTATACTTGTAACTCTCCTCGTGTGAACGGTATCAAGCCATTTTTGGTAGAGTAGCGAGTAGAGTCGACTCTACTAGCTATTCTACTCTCCTCACAACTCTACCCGTGTAAACAAGTCTTGAGAATTATTTTGACATGCGAATTTTCAACATAATAAACTAATGATTACAGCTTAGATTCAAGGAGTTTATTGTAACTTTAACAGTCAATTTGTAATTTTTCTTCAGTACAATGTTATTTAACTTTAAAAGCCAAACACGTGGCTACTATTTTTGTTTTATGTCTAATTTTTTAAATGGCCCTATCTAGCATTTGAAGTTCATTGGCGGTGACAAAATATACAACTTATTGTTTTTAATTAGATACACAAAGTGATAAATCACTATTTCCCAACTATTTAGTGTTAAAAATATTAAACCCAAAATATCTTATTTATGTGATAACCTCGGCAAATATCTAACCACTCGATAGATAAATATTTAAATAATTAATGGATTATTGTCCTCGTGTGAGAATCTACTTAAAAGAAAGAAAATTAGACTTTATTTCGGGTTTACTTAATTACAAATAAAAAAATTGGAAGCAGTAGAAAAATTAACCCATAATTGACAGTTTAGTTATCAACCACCGTTATAAATTAAAGTTGAAGTGAAAATAAGATTCCAAGTTTATTGGCCTTCTCTCTTTTTCTTGGATGTGATAAGAGACCTTTTGTCTGTTAGGTTTCTTTCCTCATACAAAAATATATGGGATAATGTTCTATACAGACTGTATAATACCTCGATTAAGCATGAAATTATTGGTGTCCCAAGTTTGGCCATTTTTTAGTAGAAATTTTAGAAACTGTTCTTATGATATTAACATTTAAAATCTTAATAATGCAGAGCCTACGATACAAGTACTGACAATTAAATAACAAATTTAATTAACTTGGCATTAACTAATTTGTTAAAAGAATTTTATGGACTCCCTGTATACTTAATAGATCAGCATACAGTAAATGTATTCCAAAAACCCCGCATGTAAAAAATATAAAAAAATATTAATTTAACCCTTAAACGTATTTCTTTAAATAAAACGTTAATAAAAAAAGTTAATTATGTCTTTAAATAGTTTTTGATATTGATTCTGTATTGATTAACAAAATCTTCAAAAAACTTTAAATCAGTGAAGACATGAGATGGTAGACGTATCTGGCACCACCTGGCACAGCCTACTAAGAACTACACAAATATGTGAAACACACTTACCGTGTCATCCATCTCTGATCTCGTTGAAAATAGCACCATTCTTGACTCGAAAATAGTTCTGGTCCGTATACAATCACTGCAAAACGCGAACTTTTTAAAAATCTACTTAAAAATGGAGAAAATTTTCAAAAAATTCAGTAAAATCGCATCGGATTTAAAATAAAAATCGCAGCGCGAACCACCTCGCTCTCTGATAGCCAACAACTCAATGTTGATAGTCGCGCTGATCGAGCCACGGCCTACTTTTCGAGAAGTGAAAGACAAAAACAAGACGTTTATTCACGGACTATCTGATGGATTCGGTCGCCTTTTAGCAATATGCACTCCGAAGCACTCCTCTATGTAATAGTTGCAGTTGCTGTGTGTAGGTACAGTTGCGACTGCAATCAGCAGGAACGGATTCATCTAATGCTTGTGATTCTACCCACAAATGAAGATGTGATGATGTATACTGACAGTAGTAAAAAAATCAAAATATCTGTTTTATTTTTATGTGGGTAATTATCGTTAATCAATTTATTTTTACTGATGTAAGTTAGAAAAACCTGTAGTATGAACTTAATATAAGAAATAAAAGAAAAGCAGGCTGCTTTAATTCTGTGAGGAAAACAACATGGTTATATTAAAACAGTTACTAAATTACCAAAATGAAGAGAATATGCATAGTGGAGATCGGGGTACAGTGGTCACATTTTTCCAAAACATATCTCATTTTTTTATCACGTACTTAAGATCCAAAGTGTCTACGTTACCATTACTATGGTCTATTGTATTGCATTGTATAACATTGTTTAGCATCGTATAGCATTGTATAGAAATCTATATCATAATATACAATTCTATAAGTAGAAGTCTTTAATAAGGTTTAATAAGGATATAAATTTTGATGGTATACAAGGCAACTATCGAACACAGTAATTTATTAAATCTTGCCCAAGTACTTTCGATCAATAGATCATCTTCAGGGGCATTTCGTCAGTTGTGACCTCTCCGACATGAGCAGAATGTCATACATGTAAATTTGGACATAACAATACAATACACAAAGACAAACAAATAGTTTAAAATTTTTTAAAAAAGAAGAAGCTACATGTTAAATAGAACTTCAATTGAAGTTTGCCAGCTTTAACTTTGAGTTGTGTTCTAACTTCAGCAACACTACATGATTTTATGTTACGAAGCAGTGGCGGCCGGTCAGGGTCGGCAGTGCCGACTCACATCTTTATAGATATTATAGACTTTTTTAATATTTAATTTAATCAGTATTTCAATAAATAATTGTGGCAGGTAATCAGTTGATGTCATTTGTTTTTGTGAACTAACAAAATATCTATGACATAATAAAGACTAAATTTTATTCATGGTTTTTAAAAGAATTCGACCAGACTAAATTGTATTCATGGTTTTTAAAAGAATTCGTCCAATCTGAGCGTTAAGTGATCCCTGCGTAGACACTTTTTAAACAGATTATTCGATATCGGAGACATTCATCCGCCTATGAATTCTTAAAAAGGCACGTTTTGTTTTTTCGGCTAGCCGATCCCAACCTTGACTTTACTTGTAAAAATCAACGGAATATTGGTTGATTAGCAACCGAATATACATTTCTTTCCATATGAACGTAATTACCAAGTACAGCGAATTTAAATTTGCCGATGTTTCATTTGGATTGGTGATTGGTCGCGAACTGTACATTGCGAGCGTGGGACGAAATGTTATTTCATATATGTAGTAAAGTGAAGTCCACAAGGAATCTACGTTCCTGTGAAGTGATATTCAGTGCACGAACTAGTGTTTCTTTTTATGATTTATTTTTATTTTCTAAAGTAATACTGTGATACGTTACGTCTGCCGTAAATAGTTAAGGTTAAAGGGTTTTTTTGACATATTAGAAGTTTTTTTTTAATTAAAGTGTAAACAAATTCAGGTAAATTAACCTAAAAAATGCAAGCCATGGGAGAAACTGTAAGTATTGATAAGTCTGATATTGTAAATTATATTTTGCATAATGGGTTTTCATCTATTCCATACGAAGAACAAATTGTTATTAAAAATAAGGGGCGTCCTTTACCTAAAATGTCCCGGCTTATAAATATTAGTGCGGGTAAGGGAAGTAATAGATCATTTTCAGATAATTGGTACAGCAAGTACTCATGGCTTACCGGGAGTGAAATAAAAAACAAACTTTTCTGTTGGCCTTGCATTTTATTTTCGACAAATAGGGGCAAACATCAACATCCGTGGTGTGAATCTGGTTACGATAATTTAAAGGAATTATTTAGGTAATTCGATAATTTAAAAATATCTATGTTTCATTAGATAATGCCCAACGTGAAAATGCTATTAAACATAACGAAATTGTAAAAAATAATCACGCAGTTTTACGTGGTTTAATTGATATTGTAATTTTTTTAAGTTGTCAGGAATTATCTTTTAGGGGACAATGAATCGAAGCATGCGTTAAACCAAGGTAATTATAGATAACTAATAAAAATGTTTAAGAAATACGATTTGGAATTTTCTAATTTACTTTCTGATTCGAAGACATTTAGCGGTGTATCTAAAACAATCCAGAATGAATTAATAGAATCAATTAGTTACATTTTGAGTAACGTTATTGAATCTGAGATTCAGGAAACCATTTGCTTTTCACTAGAAGTAGATGAAGCTACCGACATATCATGCCATTCACAATTATCAATTGTTGTTCGATACGCGTTACGTCGTAATATCTATGAGAGGTTTTTAGGTTTTACAGACGTGAGTAAAGTCATAAGGCAGAACATATTTTTGGTGTTTTAAAGGACAGATTAAAATTTTTTGATATCAAAAATAAATTGGTAGGGCAAACTTATGACGGCGCCGCTGTGATGTCTGGCGAATTAAATGGTCTCCAGGCAAAAGTTAAAACTATTGCACCGCAAGCTTTATTTACTCATTGTCATACGCATAGAATGAATTTAATTTTGCAAGATACATGTATAAAAATTAAAGAATGTCGTATTTTTTTGCCAGTTTAAGCGGATTTCCTTCATTTTTCTCAAGCTTGCCTAAACGGACTAATGTTTTAGAACGGTTTGTTTCGAAAAAAATGCCAACAGTTTGTCAGACGCGATGGAATTTTAAATCTCGGTTAGTTTTCACTGTAGTAGATTTTCGTGAACAGCTTTGGAAAGTTTTTGATTTTATTATTGAATGTGACGATTTTGAAAGTGATGATATCTCGATCCGTAAAGCAATCGGTTTGAAAACTTTATTAAATGATTACTCTTTTAACATACTTTTAAATATTTTCAAGAAAGTGTTTACCCAAACCGATATGATATTCAATGTTGTTCAAAATCAGTTAACTGACATTATTCATTCCAAAAATAGAATAACAGGACTGGTGCAAAATCTCAAAGATTTTCGTAATGATAGTAATTTCCAGTATATACGTAGTGACGTTTTGGACTCGCTTGATATTTCCGAACCCCCAAAAAAAAGACAAAGGTATGGCATAGAAACAGATCTCGAAAAACGAGTATATTTTGAAATTTTGGATACTATTATTATGCAAATAGATACTCGTTTTTCGAATTTTGAAGATTTGCAAATTTTTGACCTCTTTGACGATTCAAAATTTAAAAGTTACCCCAAAGAATTTCCAAGATATTTATTAGACAGGTTAATTAAAAATTATCCATCATTCTTTATTAAAATAAAATTAGAAAATGAATTAAAAGTTTTATATGCTGATCCAAATATTTTCGGAAGATGGGATAAGTTACAAGGTATGTATAATTTTATATACTGCAATTTTATTACAACAAACTGTTACCGAAATTATTAAATTATTGTCATTAATTCTCTCATTACCACCAACGTCTACCTCAAATGAACGAGATTTCTCTTGCCTCAAAAGAATCTAGACTTATTGTCGAAATACCATGAAACAAGAGAGAATGCCAAGCTTGTCTCAAATGTCAATAGAAAAAAAACTTTTAACATCTCTCCAAAACTCTAATAAATTTTACGATGACGTTATTACCCATTTTGCTACTTCCCAACAACGTAGACTAGAGTTAATTTATAAACATGTTTAGGTTCTAAATTTATAGAAAAAAACAAAATAAAAACAAAAAACAAGAAAACAAAAAATCTCCTATGATGGTTGATGTCTTTATTAGACGGTATACCTATCTGAGGAGACAAAAAATACCTTGCCGACCTTTTCTCTCAAGCCACGAGCCGCCACTGTTACGAAGTATGGGTTCATCAATTAACAGCTATCATGAACTAGCTGCAAAATCTCCAATTATGCTTCTCTTGACATGAGGCGTTAGTCCAGAAGCTTCCTTTATAATATTTTGACTATTATGTCTTCCTAAAATGAACAAGATACATTCCTAGGCAGGTATATACGCATAATAATATTATCAAGTGAATACATAAATAGAAGCTACTATTATTATTAGTTTATATAGTTGCTAACCTGGTGTACTGGAACTGTCAAATGCTTTTTCAAAGTCTATAAAGCATGCATAGACTTCGCAATTTATGTTTTGAGCTCTTTGTATCTATACTTGTATGGAAAATAGGGCTTCTCGCGTTCCTAGTCCTCTTCTAAATTTCAAACTGAACACTGCTAATGTTTTCTTCAAGTTTTCTGTATATGCGAGAGTGAATACCAGAAAGAAGGATTTTGAGTGCATGGCTCATTAAGCTTATAATTCTCTCATCTGAGCATCTGGTGGCATTTACCTTTTTGGGGGAGAGGTAAAGGTGGAAACTATCCAATCTGTAGGAAATTCCACAGTTTTATTGATTTTGTATAACAGACTCGTTAGGAGTTTAAGTTGGTTGTTTTCAAAAAGTTTCAATATTTCAGATTGTATGTTATCAGGTAAAGGTGCTTTGTTGGTTTTTAGTATAAGGTCTAAGAGCCGTTTCTATTTTGACTTGATTCATTGTGATATTACTAGGGAAAGTAAATTGGGGTGGCTTTTTCACATTGGCCCTGCAGTCCTTTTAATATCGTCGCTCGATCGCATTTGCGGTCCTTCTCGTGGTCTTTTGGCTTCATATGGCCGCCAATTCCCGATTTTGTTATTCCATCAGCCATCCGTAAGACGTTCGTTATGTCCAGCCCATTTCCATTTCAGTTTAGCTGCGTTTTCGACAGCATCTTTTACTTTTGTTCTAATATGAAGGACTTT